TCCCTCATGTTTAATAAAACATGCTTGACTAAAAAGAATCATGCAAGAAATTAATAATTTCGCAGCTAGGCTTCCAGTAAGTGACAAGAAACAAAATTCAAGATCAAATTTTTCCTCATGTGGAATTTCTTCTGTAATAAGAGAGGAATTTATTACAACACACTGTCCATAATCTGGGCATTTGAATGGTTACTGTGCTATGTTTAACTTTACATGATTTAAAAGTTTATACCTACTACTGAAATCTCTCCCACACTCTGGGCACTCATATGGTTTCCACTCCTGTGTGAGTCCTCTGATGTGTAACCAGGTCAGATTTCCAAGAGAAACCTTTCCCACAATATGGACACTCATAGGGTTTCTCTCCCGTGTGAGTCCTCTCGTGTCTCACCAGGATGGATTTCTGACTAAAACTTTCCCCACAACGACATTTATATAGTTTCTCTCCTGTGTGAGTCCTCTGATGTCTAACCAGGTCAGATTTCCAAAAGAAATCTTTCCCACAATCTGGACACTCATAGGGTTTCTCTCCAGTGTGAGTCCTCTGGTGTTTCACCAGGTAGTAATGCTGACTAAAACTTTCCCCACAGTGACAACATTTATATGGTTTCTCTCCTGTGTGAGTCCTCTGATGGTTCACCAGGGCAGATTTCGAAGAGAAATCTTTCTCACAATCCGAACACTCATAGGGTTTTTCTCCTGTGTGAGTCCTCTGGTGTGTCACCAGGCTGGAATGCTGACTGAAACCTTTCCCACACTCTGGACACTCATAGGGTTTCTCTCCTGTGTGAGTCCTCTGGTGTGTCAGCAGGGTGGAATGCTGACTGAAACCTTTCCCACACTCTGGACACTCATAGGGTTTCTCGCCTGTGTGAGTCCTCTGGTGTCTCACCAGGTAAGAATTCTGATTAAAACTTTTCCCACAATGACATTTATATGGTTTCTCTCCTGTGTGAGTCCTCTGATGGATCACCAGGGTAGATTTCGAAGACAAATCTTTCCCACAATCTGGACACTCATAGAGTTTCTCTCCTGTGTGAGTCCTCTGGTGACTCACCAGGTAAGAATTCTGACTAAAACTTTTCCCACAATGACATTTATATGGTTTCTCTCCTGTGTGAGTCCTCTGATGGTTCACCAGGACAGATTTCGAAGAAAAATCTTTCCCACAATCCGGACACTCATAGGGTTTCTCCCCCGTGTGAGTCCTCTGGTGACTCACCAGGTAAGAATTCTGACTAAAACTTTTCCCACAATGACATTTATATGGTTTCTCTCCTGTGTGAGTCCTCTGATGGTTCACCAGGACAGATTTCGAAGAGAAATCTTTCTCACAATCCGAACACTCATAGGGTTTTTCTCCTGTGTGAGTCCTCTGGTGTGTCAGCAGGGTGGAATGCTGACTGAAACCTTTCCCACAATCTGGACACTCATAGGGTTTCTCTCCTGTGTGAGTCCTCTGGTGTGTCAGCAGGGTGGAATGCTGACTGAAACCTTTCCCACAATCTGGACACTCATAGGGTTTCTCTCCTGTGTGAGTCCTCTGGTGTGTCACCAGGTGAGAATTCTGACTAAAACCTTTCTCACACTCTGGACACTCATAGGGTTTCTCTCCTGTGTGAGTCCTCTGATGGTTCACCAGGGCAGATTTCGAAGAGAAATCTTTCTCACAATCCGGACACTCATAGGGTTTCTCTCCTGTGTGAGTCCTCTGATGTCTAACCAGGTCAGATTTCCAAGAGAAATCTTTCCCACAATCCGAACACTCATAGGGTTTTTCTCCTGTGTGAGTCCTCTGGTGTTTCACCAGGTAGGAATTCTGACTAAAACTTTTCCCACACTCTGGACACTCATAGGGTTTCTCTCCTGTGTGAGTCCTCTGATGTCTAACCAGGGCATATTTCAAAGAAAAATCTTTCCCACAATCTGGACACTCATAGGGTTTTTCTCCTGTGTGAGTCCTCTGGTGTGTCACCAGGCTGGAATTCTGACTGAAACTTTCCCCACACTCTGGACACTCATAGGGTTTCTCTCCTGTGTGAGTCCTCTGGTGTCTCACCAGGTAAGAATTCTGATTAAAACTTTTTCCACAATGACATTATATGGTTTCTCTCCTGTGTGAGTCCTTTGATGCTTCACCAGGTAGTAATCTTTACTAAAACTTTTCCCACAATGACATTTATATGGTTTCTCTCCTGTGTGAGTCTTCTGATGTCTAACCAAGTCAGATTTCAAAGAAAAATCTTTCCCACACTCCGGACACTCCGGACACTCCGGACACTCATATGGCTTCTCTCCTGTGTGAGTCCTCTGGTGTCTCACCAGGAGGGAATTCCAACTGAAACGTTTCCCACAATCTGGGCACTCATATGGTTTCTGTCCTGCATGAGTCCTCTTGTGTCTTATCATATTAGTGTGCATGCTAAATCTTTGTCACATTGGGTTGTCTGGTAGAGCTTCTCTCCAGTATGGGTCCTTCCATTAACCATAAGGGAACTACTCTGAGTAAAGTTTTTGCCGCACTCCAAACATTTGTGTCACTTTCACTGGGTGGATCATCTCCTGCATAATCAGCTGTGATCCGCAACCTCTATTTTTCCCACATTAGGCAGTCTGTGGGGTTTTTTCAACACTGATATCCTTGAATTCTTGAGGAGGCCAAAAATGTTTCTGATCTCTTACTTGGAGGTTCTTTGAGTAAACTCAAGGCTTCCTGAAAGGGTTTAATTAATGCCTGTCCATTTTGGCTATCCAAGGGACCTTTTCCTTCCCACTGACTTCCAG